GTAATTTGTTTTTTTGCAGCCTTGCCTGATTTTTTAAAAATGTATCCAGTCCTAGTAGTCATAATAATAATAATCCTTGTGTTTTTGCAGTTTGCTTCTGGCTGTTGCCTTCCAGACTTTGGCCTGAGGCACATTTATTTCTCATGACCCAGGTGTCAACTGTGGAGAAATGGTTTCCACACAGAAGGGTAGGGACTCGTGCTCTCATGTCAAGCTCTGCCAGGAGCTTTCTCTTACTTGATCCTAATGGCTTTTTGAGCAAAGGGATTATAATCGTGTTTTTTCCAGGGGAAGTAAGCAGGCTCAGAGAGCTGAAGTTATTTGCCAAGGGCACACAGCGTTTGAGTAGCAGAAACAGAACTGGAATCCAGGTCGGCCTCACTCGAATCTGGCCCTCTTGTTTGTCCCACTCTGTCAGCTCAGTCCTGTGTCATGGCTAGACACTGTGTGCTCTGGAATCTAACCCACTGGGCCCCCTTGGGTTACCTAACCTCAAGCAGCCTCAGTTTTTCCCCTGTGGAACGGTTAGAACAACATCCAACTCCCCAGTCTGCTGGTAGTAGAGTTTCTGCCATGTGGTGACCATGCCCCACCCCTTCCCCTCTCTGGGCTGCAGTTTCCTCCTCTGTCAGCTGGAGAGATCCATACCTACCTTATCAGGTAAAAGCACTTATGATAGTATAGTAGGTGCTCAATTAATGCTTTCTCCTCTCTCTCATTAAATGCTCTCCCAGTGACTAACCAAAGAAGACACAATGGTCAGTGTTGAGTGCGGGGCAAAGCCCCTTGGAAACAGCTAGCTCCTGGCTTTGAACTGACACCTGTCCTGCCCTCCCCATGATCTCCATGAGGTTCACCCACCTGTACAGGCACTGATATCTCCTTTGCAAATGAATCTAGTCATTGCTCATCCTTTGCTTTGCAGAGCTGGGTCCATGTCCAGGGAGGTGGAAGGCTGGGAATCCCCGGGCTGCTTGGTTGCCCAGACACAGTGGAACGTGCCCCAGCCCTGGAGGAGAGGGGGCTGGTTTACATCCCTTGATGCCTGTGAGACCCAGATCTTTCTGCAGTCCCCACTGTGCTTCCAAGCAGGGTATGGGGTTCCCAGGTGCCAGTGTCCTCTGGCAGGGCACCTCCTGTAGCCACACTGCAAGCTGTGGCTCCCGGTGCCCTCTGCATGACATCCTCAGTGTTCTTAGAATCCCAGGCCCATGTGTTTCTTTAGCCTTGCATCCTTCTCCTTAGAGAACCTTTCTAGCTCCCCAGTACCCACTCCACATGGTCATTCCATTTGCTTCATCTGCCACTTCTTCCTGGAAGTCTCTGACCTTTCCACTGGGTTCACTGACCCTTCCCAGCCCCCAAACTCACTCTGTGCTGTGATCATCTCTTTGTACATCTGTCCCCCTTGTTGGACCGGAAGCCCCTTGAGGACAGAACCAGATCTGATTCACTTTTCACGCAATTCTGGCTTTGAACCTGGACAGCAGTGGGGAACGGTGTTCCCAGAAGGAATAACAGCCTGGGTACAGGCATGTGGGTGGGCCATTTTTCCCACTCCACCAAAATAGAAACTGAGCCACGATTCACAGTCAAGAGGCCTGTGCAAAGTCACACTTATGAGGAAGGCAGTGAAGACAGCGTCAGTTCTGACTCTAAATCCAAACCTGGCCTCTCTGTACTGCTGGACCCTCTTGGGTACTCTAAAGGCAGCCAGGTGAATGTGGAGAGAACATTTTAGATTTTATTTTTTTCACTAAATTACCTGCAGTCTTTGGTTGACCTTGAGCTTCTGACTACATCAGACAAACCCTGGGTGTCTTGTGAGTTGGCTTTATTTTCCCACTAATTTTTTTTTTAATCAAGGTGAAACCAAAGTGAAATGTATAAAGTGCACTCACTGGCTTTAAGTATACAAATCAATGATGATTATATTCTTTTTTATTTACTTATTTATTTTATTTTTAAAAAAGATTTATTTATTTATACAAGCACTGGGTACAGTCAGAAGCATGGAAGGGTGAGAGAATTCACCAGAGCCAGAGCAGGGAGCAGAACAGGCAGACTGATGAAGTACACTGCTGAGGGGAGCAGTGGGCGAGACAGGAGAGGTCTGTCACGCCATGTGGGACCCTCGCCAGTGCCCGGGGATTGAACTGGCGCTGCAGAGGCTGCGGGCAGCTTCACAGCCCAGTGCTCAACCATTGTACCGCCAGGGGAGACACATTCCTTTTCTTTTATTGAGGTAACATTGGTTTATATCATTATTTGTATTTGTCTCGGGTGTTCTTACCACAATGTACCCATCACCCAAACACCCCTAGTCAAGTGTGCTCCCTTCCTGCTTTTTTCTTATTCCTTCCCTTCCCCAACCCTCTCTGGTAGTCCCAATTTCATAGTCTACTTTCTAGGGTTAGTTCTTAGTTTGGTTTTATCTGACCCTTTGTTTCGTGTCTCTATGGTCCACATAGAAGTGACACCATCTGTACTTGTATCTCTCCATCTGACTTATTTAGCTTAGCATAATCCCCACCAGCTCTATCTACATTGTCACAAATGACAAAAGTTTATCTTTGTTGACAGCTGAGTAGTATTCCATTGTGTATATGTACTACACCTTCTTGATCCACTCATCCCTATTTGGGCACTTAGGTTGTCTCCATATTGACTATTGTAAATATTGTTGCAATGAACATTAGTGGTTTTATATTCTTTGGGTAGATTCCAAGGAGTGAAATCACTGGGTCATGTGGAAGATCCATTTTTAATCTTTTGAAAACCTCCATACTGTTTTCCCTAGGGGCTTGACCCATCTACATGTACACAAATAGTGTCGTCTTTTATGTCTGACTTCTCTGACTTACATAGAATCTGTGGGATTCCATACAGATGGTTGTATGTATCAATGGCTCGTTCTTTTTCATTGCTGCATAGAAGTCCAGACAGAGTCCTGGAATACCCGTCTTTCTCCATTCTCCTGTTGGTAGACATTTAGGCTGTGAGATGAATTACTCCCTAATTTGACTAATTTCACATTTTGACACAAAGTGTGGATTTTGCCAGGGCACTATGGAGAAGTGTTGGGCCCTCTAGAAGTTTAAGGGACTGAAAACATTCTCTGAGAAGAATCATTTGAATCAGAAACATAAATTTGTCCCTCCTTGTCCTCTGTTGTCACAGAGACCTGGGGAGAAGGGAGCAAGAGAAAAAGAAGCAAATAAGCTTTCGTGGAAGTTTTCTCATTCTCCCCTTAACATGAGCTAAGCGACGGATGATGGCGTCCACCTGTAATTTAAAGTCCAGTGCTCATGGCTGGCAGTGGGAGCCATAATAAATGTGTTGTCACTGTCCTTTTGGTGTCCTTTCTCTGCTACTCTGAAATCTCATAAATAACCAAGAGCCTGTTGGTAAGATGCCTTCCTTCCCTCCGTTTGCTCCAGCGAAGCGGTTGTGGTTGCTAGGTCGAACTCCTGGTTGCTAGGGATTTTGTGGTCCTATGGTGGCCCAGAAATATGATGGATCAGTGGAACATGCTTTTGCTATTAATTGAAATGTTTCCACAATGAATCTTTCAATGTCACTGCTTGCTTTGACATCATCCCAATGGGTCTATGATTCTCACCTCTTTCTTTAAGACCAGTTAGAAGTGTCCTGAGTGGAGGGGACAAGTGGCTTGGACTGGTCTCAGAAAAGCCTGAGCCTAGTCTTGTGTTTGATATTAATTTGCTGTGTGACCTTGGGCAATCGTCATCCCCTCTCTGGGAATTGGACTCCCTAAAATTCAAGGACCTGCCAGCTTTTGCAGCCTACAGTTCATCACCCAAGCTCTGTAAGCAGGCCAAGTGCAAATCAGTTCCTCATTATCTGCTGGTGGATTATTGACAAAAGAATTCTCGTCCCCGGCTCACTTCCTCTCAACCCAGCAGGCTTCTGGGCTAAGTCTCCTTGGCCAGATGGTGTGTGTGCAGGAGTTATAGACTAATTTTAATATTCAATCAAACATAATTGGAATCATAAATCTGAGAGGGGAAAAAACAACACCCTGCAACCCATAAACATCTGATCGTGTCATTTTCTCTTTCCTCCTGCTTAAAACTCTGGCAGTTTCCTGTCGCTTGCTCTGGGCATGACAAGCAGGGTCCATTTCAGTTTCCAAGGCACATCAGTTGGTGGTGGCTGCAAGGGGTAAGGTCCTAAGAATCTGGACTCACTCACTTGCTTCGGTTTCTTGATTGATTGGTGATGTCTGCCACAGGTCTAGGGATGTGAACAGGGGTGTGTATTTGCTAATCATGCTGTAGTTTAAAGCCCATAACTTTAATATCCTGTTTGAAGCCTTCACAATTGGCACCTGCCAGCATCTCATGCTTTATGTCCTCCCCTTTTCTGTCTGCCCACCTCCAAAAATAACTGCATATGTTTCATATTCAGTTGACTCCTTGTTTCTCTAGAGATCTCCTTTGCTGTTGTCCGCTCTGTCAAGGACCTTATTGGATCTTATTGGTCTATTGCTTTTTCAGTCTTCCAACATAATTTTGTCTCTTTTTCTATTAATCATTGGCTGGGATTAATTAGGCATTCCCACCTTAGGTACCCCTTTCCACTGACACCAATATCCTACCACTAGGTCTCATTCATACTTGGTTGCTTTTATGTCTCTTTCCACTTCTACCTTGAGAAGCCCTCAGTCGGGTTCTGGCGTTTACTCATCTTTGTATCCCCAGGGCCCAGCATGGAGCAGAGCCTTAATAAATCTACTGATGAACACATGAATGAATAAAAATCACTCCACATTCCAAAGTCAGAATGAAATGATTTTTATAACTTTCCCAGCAGTCTGAGTTCTGTGTGCCAACATACCTCAGCTTAATTGTGGGTAATTTACTGTGCTAATAAAATGACCACACACTCCCCCGAGACTGAGCTCGGCTTCAAGTTGTGAGTTTGCATTTTTTCCACCGTGATGACCTCTTTTTCTTCTCCTCTCCCTTTGCGCTCAGCCTGAAGATAAGCAGAAGGCGGCAGCTGCCTTCACCCAGCTCCAGGGCGCCATGGAGACACTGGGCATTTCGGAGAGTGAGCGGCGAGCCATTTGGCGGGTGTTGGCAGCCCTCTACCACCTCGGCGCAGCAGGGGCCTGCAAAGGTACGTCCTTCCTGCCGTGCTCACCTGCGTGACCAGCTGTCTCCTTTGGCAGATGGCTCACAGGCCCTTCTCTCAATGAGGTGGGACGGGTCAGTCTGTCATCTTCTGTGTCCCTGGGACTGCTGTTTGGGAGGCTGCTGGACCAGGCATGGTGAGAAAGAGATGGGGCTGGATTTTCCAAGCCAGCCACGCAGACCAACATGGTCCAACAGAATGTTCTGCAGTGATGGGGATGCTCTCCCTCTATGCTGTCCAGTACAGGAGCCCCTGGCTGCCACGCCACCTGAGTACTTGAAATGTAGCTACGGGAATGAGGAACTAAAGTTTTAATTGCATTATATTTTAACTAACTTAAACTTATATAACTGTAGGTAGCTAGTGCCTACTGTACTGAGCAGCGATGCTCTAAAACATGGTAGTGAAGGTTGGGTCCCTGCAATAAAGGCGCTGTCTGTCTAGGGAGATACCCTGGAGATTCTCCCCACCAGTTCTCCTCCTGCTGAGACTGCTCCCTACATAAGTTCTCCTCCCCTCTTGTGGCTGTTTGCTGATCGTCCCTCTTGCCCTCACTCTCCTTGCTCTGTACCCTCCGTCCTGATTTCTCTGCTCTTACTGTTATCATCTGACACTAGAAGTTGCCTTTATTTTGGCTTGGACTATTGCAGTAGCCTCCTTGCTAGTGCCTTGATACCTCCTTTTGTCCATCCTCAGTGTGACCATTAGGCTTTTTCCTACAACATAGACTCATCATGTCTTTCCCCTGCTTAGATTCTACCCCAGGTTCTCCTTTATCTGCTAAACCAAGTAAAATCCCTGGGCTTGGAATTCAAGGCTCCTCATTTCCTTAATCAATCTCTTCTGCAATCCTTTTCTGACCACATAAAAGTTCCTGGGGAGATAGTAGGGATCAAGAATAATGTGGTTCCTGCATTTATGGGGCTTTTGGTGACTTGTGTTGTGATTATGTCCTTATCTAGCTCCTTCCATAGGGAGCTGCTTCGTTTGGTCCCAGAACAAAATTGGAACTTACTTGTCAAGTGAACCCTTATGAATTGAGGTCTGTCCTCTGGAATGGGTTCTGACTCTGGGCCATTCTCTGTGGGGCAACTGTCCTTACACTCAAGGGCTTATGACTTGTTCCTTGGACTCTCATACCTTTGAGCCACATATATTGGCCCACTGATTTTGGAAATTTCTAGAAGCTATAAAGAGTCAGAAATAAGTAAGGTAGGGAATCCACAATTGGTCCAGAACAAGGACAGACTTACTTGACTGGACACATGTGAAAAAAAAAAAAAGAAACAAACAAACAAAAAAACAAATATCGCTTGCCTTTCAAAAAATAAGTTGTGACATGCTCAGGGGCCTGACTGTTTGGGCCTCACCACCACTGTGCTCAGAGGCTGTGAAGGCTCTCCTGGCTTCTGGGTCATCAACACCAACCTGAGTCAGGGTAAGAGATGTGGTCCCATCTCAAGTCTGGGGTGCATTTTTCTTCCTGAAAAACTAGTCTAGTTACCAGTTAGAGGTCCCCACCTCTGCATTTGGCTTTGTCCATGCCAGTGGTGCCAAATTACATGGCCAAATGCAGCCTGCTAACTGCGTTTGTACAGCCTGCAAGCTAAGAATAGTTTGCATATTCTAATTAGATGAAAACATATATAAGGCTAATATTTCAGGACATAGGAAAACTACTTGGTATTCAGACTGTAGTGTCCATAGTTAAAGTTTTATTGGAACCCAGCCATGTCCATTCATTTACATGTCTCTAACTGTATTCCCACTACCATAGTGGAGTTGAGATTCTATGGCCTGCAAAGCTTAAATTAATTACTCTATGGTCCTTTTTTGAACAAATTGGCTGACTCCTCTTCTATACAACCTCCAGGGAAGGTCGCAGCACTTGGGGGTCTTTGCGCCTCTGAGCTGCCCACTCTTTGGTTGTGCTTTGAAGAAGCTCTTCAGCCCTCCTCAGACTCAGCTACATGAGAGAGCGACTGTCGGGATCCAACTCTGACCCCAGCTTGCTGGGTGACCTTGAGCAAGTTGCCTCTCTCTGTGGTCTCAGTTTTCTCAGATTGAATTTCTAGAGTTGGGTCTGATGACAGGTTCTTAATCTAAGGTCCATGTACTCCCACCCCTAAGTGTTTTATGTGTGGATTTTAGGGGGTCGATTCATTTCCTAAGTCTGTCATGACAAATTGCCACAACCGGGTGGCTTAAAACAACAGAGATTTATTCTCTCACAGTGCTGAGGCCAGCATCTGAATCGTGGTGTCAGCAGGGCTGTGCTCCCTTGGAAGGCTCTGGGGTAACGTCCCTCCCTTGCCTCATGTAGCTTCTGGTGGCTGCAGGGGCTCCAGGCTTGTGGTCACATCTTTCCAGTCTCTTCCTGTCTTCACATGGCTTTCTCCTTCGTGGCTGTCTTCTCTTGTGTCACTTATCAGGAGTCCTGTCACTGAATGTTGGGTCCAGTGGATTTTGGACCAATCCTTAGGTCCTAAGTATTCTAGGATGAGCCCATCTCAAGATCCTTAACTAAATTGTATCTACAAAGATACTTTTTTTCCAAATAAGGGCACATTCACAGGTTCTGGGGGTTAGGATCTAGATACATCTTTTGGGGGCCACTGCTGCACTTGCAACAGGGAATCTTGGTAACTACTGAAATAGCATGCTGAATTGTGCATGAATGTGCGTTTTCGGGGGAGAGATGGAATCTATAGCTTTCATCAGATTCTCAAACGCATGCATCAGACCCCTAAAGGTTTAGAAACTGTCAAAACCCACAGTATCTGGTATGACTGCCTCGAATTTTCTTTTCTTCTTTCACTTAATCTTCGCATTTCAATCTAGAAGGGATCTCAGAGAAGCCTCTTGCATTACTCAAGATGTAATAATAATGACAATAATGATAGTAGTAACCATTAGTAAGATCCATAGTAACAGCCAATACTTACTTCGCGCTGAGTGTGCCCCAGATACTATTCTAGGCATTTTATACGTGATCACTCATGAAATCCTCCCAACAAAGCCAAGAAGTGGGTGCTATTGTTATTCCATTTTATAGAAGAGAAAACTGGGGCACAAAGAAGTTGGGGTGAATTTCCTAAGGTTGCACAGCTGGGAAGAGGCAGAGGTGGGGGTGTGAACCCCTCTAGGTGGGCTGTGGACTCCAAGCTGTCAACCCTGCACAGGGAGCTGGTGAGAGGAAGAACTAGTTCTTGCCTGGAGAACATCTCTGAGCACAGCCTCCTTTTCTCGTGACCTGAGGGTAAAAATCTCCCCTACATCAAGGGCGCCTCCTCTGCATCCTGAGGCTGCATCCTGAGGCTGGCGGCCAGCCAGGGGGATGGAATGTCACCTGCAGTGTCCAGTTCAAGGCAGTCGCTGGTAGGGGTGGCTTCTGCCTGAGATGCTGAGCGAGGTTGGGTGACTCTGCCAAGGGGGCCAGCCCTTGCCTCTCAGCTGTGCTCTGGTCCAGCGGGCTTGCTCCCTCAGGCACCCTGCGGGGCCTGGGAAGAGAGGAGTCCTGCAGGGGGAGGGCAGGCGATTTCCTTCATCACCCTGGAACCCCGTCTGCTCTAGCACCATGAAACAGGCTCAGAGAAGTTTGATACCCAAGTGTCTCCTCTGGGGGCATCTGGGGTGCCGCCTCTGTTGTGGGCTCAGGGACCTGATCCATACCTGTAGCTGCTGTAATGATGAAAGAGAAAGTCACATTTATAAATATTTTATTAATACTTGATTATGGCAATAATTCCTCCCAGTCTCCCCCACCCCACCTTATAAATTATTTTAAGAGGAGCTGCCGTCAGTCTGCCTGGGAGGCCTGCCTGATGATTTACTTACTATATATTCTGCTTTGGAAGATTTCATAATAGGTTGCTCTAAAATCAGCTATTAAGAATTTCAAAGTCGTATATAAATGTCTTTGCTTTGTGTCATAACAGATCATTTTGAAATATATTAAGAATCATTTCCATTAATCAGGATTTTTTATTTTTTTCATTAAAATGATGCTCTCCTCCCAGCACGCCTGGCTTCCTTAACTTATTTTGAGAGCCCTGATCTTATTTTTAAAACCAGATTGGTCCTGGTAGGGAGATGCAGGGCCTTTTAACTGGACTCAGAGTTTTTGAGCTGTTATAGCAATAACAACAATCTCTGCTAATAATCAGTTTAGTGTTTGACAGTTTCAAAAGCACTTGTACCTCTGTTATGCCCTTTGATGTGACTGGATTCAAACAATAACCTTGTTGTCCTTGAGGAAGAACAGCACCCTGGCAATAGTCAATCTGCTGGGTGTGAATCCTGGCTTGACCTCTCTGAGCCTCAGCCTATTCCTCTGTAAAATGGGGCTAAGGACACTACCCACTTTGTAGGCTTGTTGTGAGCATCAAATAAGTCGATTTCAAAACTGGACGGGCACAGGGCTTGCCTCATGGTGCGGGCTTCAGAATGCTTCAATTTCATCTATCTCCATTTTGTAGACTAGAAAACAGTGGCTCAGAGAAAGCATCTTGTGGCTTAGCCAGTATCACACAATATGTTCCAGAGTGAGGTTTGGAGCCTTGCTTGTCTCCCTGCAAAGATCACTTCTGCTCTAGAATTTTCGGTGGATCCTTAGGGTCATTCCCTGCTGGAGGACTGATTTGTTTTCCCTGTCCCCATGCTGCGTGCTCACAGACATGGTGCTCAGTCTTAGAACAGTCTGGGCAGGGTGAAGACTATCATGGTGCCTGCTTTACCGATGAGGAGACTGAGGCCTGCCGCACACACAGCTAAAGCAGGGGTGGGCCTTGGACCAGGTCCCTCTGTGGGACTTCTGGGAATACTCCTGCTGCTGCCTCTATTTCCCAGGTCCTCGGGGGGCCGCTGACACCATGTTTTCATGGGGCCCCTTGGGACGGTGTTTACTCAAGACACTGCTGACACCAGGGTGTAGGGGTTTCCTCACACCAATCGATTCAATCCTCCAGACACCAGCTGGTGTCCTA